ATCATTTTTTACTTGATGTGGAATCTGATAGCGTGTTTGCCGACAGAGGGTCTTGTAATTGTAGGCTGAGTACCACTGCTTCTAGTCCGTTTTGAGGACCCTCTATCCGATCTAAATTCGATAACTTTTCAATATAATACCTTACATCTTTAAGCAAGCTGAATTATATGGAGGTGGTTGATAATTAGAAAGATGCCATTATGATAACAGATTTAGTCAATTTAAGTCTAATTAAGTGCTTACCGTGATTTGCCCGTCTCAGTGAAAATACTTAGTTTATCTATTTCTTGTGCCAGCTTCGTATTAAATAATTTAAATACTTCAGACATTACGCTCTAAAAATTAATTTGGAAATTATGATAAGGACACATACATGCATAACTGATTAAAGATTGGACAAATTAGCTAATTTTACTGATTAACTAACCTGGAGAGTGTCAGGGCGGAGATATCTATTTAATACTCTATGCAGCGTTGTGGTCTCTTTTACCAGAACTTCCATGTATTGGTGCACGTCATTGCTTCCATTAGGATCGTCCCATCGCACGGCCTTGGTGTTTATCAAGAGGATAATAAAAGGTTAATGAGCATCAATAAAACCGATACAATCGTATCGTGCCATCATTCAGTTACCTGGAATTTCTTGATGTGTGCTTCAAGTCTTTCATCCATTATAGACACCAACTTGGCATGAATTTCACTTTTGTGATTGGTGTAATCCTAATAAAGTAGTAAAACAAGCGTTAGAAGAGTCTTGAATGAACCATAAACACAAAGGGTGTCGATAAAAAATCACATATACTCGACTCACCTTTTTTATCCGATCAAATTCAGTCAACATCACAATCTGCTTTGCGTCAAGATTATGTCGTATGCATTCTCTCACAAAAGGAATCAACGATGTCAACGCATCAAGTGACTGCGAAGCCAAAGCTATTAGAAAAAAAAGGCTCAAGTTAGACTAAATGTCTATTAAATTCATAGTTATAGCACATACAACAATTATGTATATCATACCAAGATGTTTAGCGGTAATGTTCTTCAATCCAGCAGAATAACGTGCTCCTCCTCCCAAAATCACTTGACATGTTCTTGAATTGAAAATCTAATAACAAACAAATATCTCAGCACACCGCACGTTATATATCGTAAACTGGCCCTCTTAAAATTCAAACTTACGTTCAGTATCTCTACAATCTTATTCATGACTTCCTGAGTCAAATTGGGAATATTCACCATACACCTCAAACAATCACCCAATGTTTTTAGTAACACCAATGTGCTTCCAACCACAAAAAATTTGCTATTCTCTACTGACAGAGACTTCTTGCTTGCATAATTAGCCTCTGCTGCTGCGTCATTCGGACCGGTACCGTCACGTATGACGTTGCGAGGTGCTGGATATGTTGGTGATAGAGGACTTTGCTCATATGGATCGCCAGAAAAGTTGTCTCGAAATTCGTCCAGACCTTCGCTGGAAGCACGGATAATTAAATTAACTATGTTTTGAAAGTCAATTGGGACTTCAGCAGGTATCCATTGTTCGTTTTCGATTACTGTTACTAGTTGTCTGACTTTTTCCATCTGAAAGTGGTTGAGAAATGACTTTGCCTAAATAAGCAAATAAACAAGCAGATGCACGTGAGACAAGCACGAAAACAAGTGCTAAATTAAGGGTGCTGGATGTGAACGATAATTGCCTGAGACATAATAGTTGGTCGAAGCCGAACGCTAGTCCTGCCACAAAGACTCTCTCCCTGTAATACAAATGCCCACGTAACATTAAACAGACGATAAAAATCTTTTGGATTCAACTGTGCGTTCTGGTCAGCACGCATGGCAATCAACTTTGCACATCTATCGTAGGCCAAGTCGGCAGACGATACCACTGTTTCCGAAGACTCTGTCAACAATTGTCCATAAGTATTGGATGAATCAAATTGCGGGGAAGGACTTGCAGCATCTACAGTATTCTGAGATGGTTCGGAAGCCGCTGAGACTTGTTTCGACGAAGAAGATGATGCCCGTCGAATGAACGATTTTAGACCACTTATTGATTGTGCCGTTAGAATACGCAGGTTTGGCATAGGCTGATCTGTTTTTTCTTCATCGTTCTTGTGACCGACACCATTTGTTTCGTTGTGAGAAACTTCTTGGTGTGCTTCGTCCGAATTGGTAAATTCAGGGGATGGTGTGCTGTTATTATACTGATTGGTGTCGAAATGAGGATCGGCATCGGCAGATCGCACTTCTTTGAGAACACTAGCAAAAAGTTCGTTGTAAACAGCTACGCGTTGCATTGCTTCTAACAAGATGGCGTACAAGTTAAGTAGCACGGCAAGAAATGCGTCATATGTCATTCCTTTCAAATGCTTGGCTAACATGGTACTATGCGTGCTACAAGTACAAATCATGTTCAAATAAAAAAAATTAGTCATATTGATAATATAGAAAACAATTAAAGCACAACTGAAATAAACTAGATTGTTACTTTGATCCACTCCTAATTTCTCCTAGCTGTTCCTCCATCACTTTTGGATATCGCTACACTCAAAAGAAAAAAAGAAAGCAATATGTCCTATGAATAAGTCATAAATCAATAAACATAATCCAGAAAGCTATAAAAAAGGGGGTACGTTACCTTTTGAATAACCTTTTCAATTTCCTTAAAAATCCTCTCTCGATAAGCTTGCAAAGCATTAGCAAATCTATTTGTTCTGTACAGTCCCAAAATTAACGGTGCTAACCTCTCCTTTAGTTTCTCCTCCTTATGCAACGACGTTCCATCAATACCCATAACAGAAATAGTTTTCCTAATCTGAGACTGCTGAGCCAAGTTAAATTTATACAACTTGTTTATAACTTCTTCCGTATTTACAATATTCAAGTGTTCCTCAAAGTCCAAAAATATAATATTCAATAAATCGTTCTCCATCATAACTCCAATACTTCTATACAGTTCATGCAACTGTGCACTGAAATGCACTAACGCCCTAACGCCACGCAAATCAATCGGCCCAGCACGTTTTAGATTCTCTGCAACTTCACTTAATCTTCTCGACATGACCCGTGTTGTAGTCGGCTCATCACTTTTAAGATAATCATCCGTTTGTGATATATCCCCTCCTTGAAGGAAATTATTGGCTTCATCAATTAAATCAAGTGCAGAAAAGTAGTCGCCTTGACGTAAAAGGTCTTGTATAGTCGGCTGAGTGGATCGTAATTGAGCAACCATACGAATGCCCTCATATAATCGACCCACGTTTGCTCGTCTACGTTTTAGTTTTACTACTTCCAGTCCTTGCTTTGCTTGTGATTCGTCAATACGCGATAGTTTTTGTCGGAGTACATTAATCTGAGAAATGCAATCAAGAGTCTCGGAATGAAGTGCTTGGAGGTTGGAAAGAGCAGCAAAGAATGAAGACGACCGTCGAGATATTTCATTTATTAGGTGTACTTCAACAGTGTCCAGATAATGCGATAATTTCTCTTGTAGTATAGCGTTTGGCGAGATACCTGGACTAGCCAGATTTCCGCCAATAATATCAGCATGTTCACAAACAGCATCAAAGGTTCTTGGGTCTTCAAGAGAGAAATCGGCATCGAAAAATATTGATGGCACCGTCTCGAGCAATGGCAATTCTATCTCTGGCTTTCCAACATGCTCTTCGGTGGGTAATGGAAGTAGAATCGGAACAGAATATGGATTTCTTGAGCTCTCTAGTCTATGAGCTGGAATTTCGTCCATTTCTGATTTGTTCAGATTCTGCAAGTTTGTGGCAAGTAAATTAGTGGCAGACGCTGCAGGAGAATCGCTCGACGTATAGACCAGTTCACGATCATTCTCCGTGCCCATTTCTTTGTTGAGTCGATATTTTTCAAAAACTGGAGTAATATCTTTCAGATAATTATTAAAATCGGATGGCTTGACTTTACGTATTGTCGTTTGGGGTACGGGCGGAATGTCACTCTTGGTTGGTTTCACGGTGCTCGATGATTTATTGGGGTTATTGAGAACACCCGAAATTGCTATGGAGAATGATTAGAAATTAGCGCAAGGATTGATTTGTAGAGTGAGTAATAGATACAATAAATAAATCGTACCATTAAAACCAATGTCCTAGAAGCAACAATCAATGCAATGATCGATCAAGAAGAATTTTATTGCAAAGACAAGATTTAAGAGGAGGTTTTTTTTTTCTGATAAAGTCCATTCTTTTTCCTTCTTATCAATATGTAAATTTTACCTTTGTAGTCCAAGGCAACGATGTCTCTGACATTGTACTAAAATTCGATATCGACGAATTTATCGAAATCCTTCTCATATGACCGTGTCGATAATTCTGACCATATAGCGCCATAGTCGATGATGCTCTTTGAGTAGATGGAGATACATGATATCCGTTGTTGTCAAAACTCCTTGTTGATGAAGTTGAAAATCTTCGAGCAAGCGGCGAAGTTGTGGCAAATGGCGAGTGTGGGGATTTGGGGGATTTGGGGGATTTTGGGGGATTGAAATGGTCTTGGTCGTTCGAAGATGGGTCATACTGTTCTAACTGGAGTGTCTTCTCCATGTTTTTGCCAAGACAAAGGGAAAAGAAAAATTATTAAATTGAAATAATAATTAGAGAATTTTGATAATAGTATTCATAGGTGAGCCGTAAAGTCTCTCGTCTGGTATTCACTATCACCATTCCGAAATGGTATGAGAAAATGGTTGTGAACTTGCAAACACTAAATGTTAACAACTGCCAGAATTTTTGTCAAATATGAAAATAGTAATTAACAAACGGCCTTCGATCAAAACTGTACGACGTTGTTGTGTCAAAATAATTGGATGGGTCTTTCCCGTATTAATACTATTTCCTTTTTCGTATCCTATTACTCGGTCATCTTTTTCCCGTAAACATGCAGAACCGTGATCATTTAATTGCTAGATCAAGATATTTAGCATCAATACACTCTTTGTTTTATCTATCTGTCGCTTTCGCTCTATCAACATGAATGCGAGAACACGTTTTTTAATCGTCGGGATGCTTGTATCCGGTGTCTGCAATACGTTGCTAAACAAACTTCAAGACATGCAATGTGTTGAGAACTGTGATGACAAAGACCCTTCCAAGCGCGAATACTTTGAGCAGCCTGTGTGGCAAACTTTGAACATGTTCATAGGCGAGACTCTCTGTTTCATCGCTATATACATTCAAATGATTCTAGATTCGTACAAAGAGGAAAAGGATGTTGATCGGCCTCTAGCAGTTGAGAGAACGTCAACTGACGACTCTATTGAACTGGAAGACGAGTACGTGCCCCGGCAAGAAGAGTTATCTGGATGGAAAATATTTCTATTTTGGATACCGACACTTTGCGACATCTGTGGAACTACGGTAGGTTGGTGAGGCAAAACGTTGTCAATTATTTTAAAATATTCTTTTTTCCTTAACGTACTTTTCCGTCATTGTGAATTCGAATGGTATTATTTTAAACAGCTTATGAACGTCGGTCTTATTTATACGTCAGCTTCTGTATATCAAATGCTTCGCGGAGCAGTAGTTCTCTTCACTGGCAGCTTTTCGGTAATCTTCCTCAAACGAAGACTTTTGCCGTATCATTGGTTCTCTCTCTTTTTAGTGGTATTGGGTGTTACAGTCGTAGGCCTCTCAAGCGTTCTGTTTCCACCACTCAGACCAGCTGAAGACGATGTTTTGACCACTGGTGCCCCTTTCGCCCTGATCGGCGTCATATTTGTTCTGTTTGCTCAAGTATTTACAGCTTCTCAGTTTGTAATAGAAGAAAAGCTTGTAGAAAAATATAATGTTAGTCCTCTTCGCGCTGTAGGACTCGAGGGCATTTTTGGATTGACGACCATAACATTTGGGACAATTATATTTTACTATATGTATGGAATTCATCATCCGGGAGGGTATTTTGACATTCCCGCTGGTTGGAATCAGATCATAAGCTTTCCTCAAATATGGCGTGCGGGCATTGCTATCTGCTTTTCTATCGCATTCTTTAACTATTTTGGGTTAGCAGTTACAAGGACTGTCAGTGCCACTGCAAGAAGTACGATCGATACATCCAGGATTGTATTTGTTTGGATGGTTTCATTGCTTTTGGGTTGGGAGATATTTTCATGGTTACAAGTATTAGGTAAGATTAGAATGTCCAATACTTATTATTTATTCCTTGAGATAATTTTTGTTTATGATTCTAATCCATCCTTTTCATCTTTACTCTTTGTAGGGTTCGTTATCCTCGTTACCGGCACATTTATTTTCAATAATGTTATAGATCCACCAAGTTGTCTCTCTGAAGGCCGTGCTGAAGAGCGTAGACCGCTAATTCGTAGAACCTCTGAAGACATGTTGTAATTACAAATATTCAGGACATTTGACTTCATAATATATGCAATGACATGTTAATTGACAACTTAGGTAAATGATATAAATTATGGTGTGTACAGTCTTCTCCAATATCTATTCCAAGAATCTACTTTCCCATTTTCATATACACCTTGAACCCAAAAGGCAATACCCCCACCGCCATTCTGAACCTTATCAACCGCCAATGATAATCCTCCCACCCAAAACTCTGTTGTATCAGCACATCCGAGAAATACTAATTCATTTTCTGCTGGGATGGTAACTTGCTCAGCTTCAATATGATAATATACATAGAAGTACGCGAATGTATTCTTTAACCCCGAGGTCTGCTTGTAAGAATGACTTAGCACATGAATGCCTATTTCCCATGAAACCGTCCCTACTATATAATACTCGTTATCGCGAACTGGGCTCAAGATATTCGCAGATAAATTTCGCAAGCTCTCCTCCGAGATGAGTGGTTCGACCATGGGATCGATCGACAAAGAACCGACATGTGCGATTATGACGGGTTGCCCTTTTAAATCTTCATCAGCTGGTTCAGCTGCTATTTTATCTGTCTTGTGCAATACCGTAACGCCAAACTTCTTTATGACTAGATCTTGTCCTTTGACCGACTCTGCAAGATCAAACATGGTTGGTGTCAGCATCACCTCGGCTACATGCCAATTATGGCGTCTCGTGGTGGTGGTCGTGAGTGTGCTAAATTCTAATTCTATTTGATCTTCCTTGGCTGAAAGAACGATTTGGTTGTTCATGTCTTCTGGATTAGAGTCTCCAGGACCTGAATTAGCGACATCCTCGTTATCTACGACAATAAAGGAAGTTGCATCTTCATCATCTACATCTGTTGTTTCGAAATGAACTGTTTTCTTCTCGCTCGTCGTTTTTAAACCAACGTGGGCATACAATCCAATTTTGACGTTTTGATCCTTTGCGGGGAGATATATCGCACTAAGCGAAATTCCATCTGCTGGGATCGAAATATCAGTTTCGTACAAAGGTATCAATGAAATGGACGATCTCTTCGGTTTTGTCGATTGAATAGAGATTGATGTGCCCCCCGAATAAGCAACGTCGAATGTATACTCCCACGTAATATGTGCCTTCTTGTGCAGAGTTTTTGCAGATGTCCTAGAAAGTATCCTCAGAGTCGGTGATGGTGGAATTGACTGGAGACTTAAATAATACCATTCTTGATCTAGCGCTTGCTATCATGTTCACCAATTTTTTTTTTACCAAAAAAAAAAAAAAAAAAAAAAAAAAAAAAAGAGCTTCTTAGGAAACATTCCGACTTTGAAAGTATAATGTGCCGTGTATTTAACAAAGTTCCTTACTTGTCCATCTATAAAGAATTTATATCCACATCCTCGCGAGAAATTTGTATAAAATCTTTGTGTACCTGGAGCATATCTTGGAACAATATAGTCCGCAATAGCTTTCTGTGCATCTACAATTTTGAAAGAGTTTGGTTATTCATTCTCCTAATGAAGCTTGTTATTCATGTAACTCGACTGTGCGAGTATCCCCTCACCGTGCTTTTCCTTAGACGGCCTTGATATATGTTCGCTGTTACCAATCCAAAACAATGAATCGTTAATCCAGAAATTGTCGGCTCCCAAATGCTCAAATGTCCAGGCAGGCGCAAAGAGAGCAGCCGAAGTCTTGCATTTCTGGATGACATCCAAGGCTTTATAGGTATCGAAACTAGAAAACGTGTTTGTATCTGATGTAGTTATTAATCTCTCGGGTTACGAATTAACTTAATTCCTCGGTTACTTACCCTCCACCACCGTAAGTCGATCTTCCCCATACATCAATACCAGTGTACACATCTCTCCTTCTATGCTTTCCCGCCACAGCTGCTGAGCTTGCTGTTATTTCTTCATCCCACCAATAGTTGGTGAACATGCCATCTGATACTTCGAAAAATGGTAAGTTGTATTCATTCAACTGATTTTGCCAAAGCCGAATTCCATCCTTTGTCACCGAATCATACCTACATGCGCAAATTATAAGGTGTTAACACTTTTAAAAAAGACCTTCAAGACTACTAACGTTACGCATTACCATAAGATCAGACATCCTGGTTTCTTCCTTTGAATTTCTTCGCGTAAATTATACAAGAAATCTACGAGTAGGTTTGCCTGCATCGCACCACCAGTGAGATGTGATTCTATATTAAAGAACCATCCATCAAAATTGTAGTATTCGGCAATTGCAACTGTCCCAGTGGAAAAAAAAATCAACCGGTTATAATTTGCAAATTCTTGAAAACTCGCACAAAAAAATTCTATTCATTTTCTAATTACTTAGTTTATTAGCGAAAAATCTTGAAAATACTCTTTTCTGATCCTCGTCCAATTCTGGGAACGTTAGCTTGTCACCGGGACCAAGAAGTAAAAAATCGGGTTCTAAAGATTCCAAGTCCTCAGTTATGAAGTTACCAAGAATTTTGACCCCATTACGATGTGCTGCATTAGTCCATTGTCGCGGAGGTACCGAGATGCGGTGATGAGAAAAGCTTTTATTGTTGTGGTAGTGGTAAGATGCATGAAATGAGATAAAGCAAGAGTAACAATAATGACAGCATTGTATATGACGAAAGTCATACTAAATGAAGATATCAACGTATTGCCAATACTGAATACTGTATCCGATTTTGAAGTAGTCTTCGATATATCCTGGATGACCAAGAAACAGGATTACTATATGATGAAGAGACATTGTGCACGTTCTCATTATTTAATACTAACCACCAGCCATGTCATGTGTTACAAGAAGTTTACACTTTCGCTTTTCACTCTCACGATTCTTCCATTTCGGTCGAAAGTCAGGACGTGGTTGTAAGTTTACGAAAGCGACATTGGCATTATCATGACCAGGTTCCCAAGCAGCCAATTCAGCTAATGATATCCAAAATGGACTTTTATTTGGATCTCTTTTTGGAAGCTTCAGCATTGCCTCGATCAATGCGAAGTTAAAAATTTTTAGTAATCATTCGAACTGGCAGTGCAGTGTCATTTGTAGCACCAAGAGAAAAGATTAATTTCTCTATTGTGACCATGGCTTTTAGACTAGTATCTGACCAATCAGATCTATTTCGTTATGAGAGAACCTAACTGTAAAAAGTTAATTCTCCCCGCTTTTTTGGTTTATCAATAGATTTAGTCACACAAATTGTAGGTCTTTGACGTTGGGTGCCTCGCAGATAACTTTTCTATATCAGTTTACGAGTCAATGTTACAGTATAGCTTGACTTATTGAACTCAAACACTCTCAACATTATAGACTGCGCCTACGCATGAAAATCACGCGTTTTCTCGTGAATCTACAGACTCTGTTCGTTGAAACAAACGTGGGAGGAAGGAGTTATTCTACGCAACACTTGTTATATGCAATTTGTAGAAATCCGTCAGGAAGAGCAGGTAAGAGGATCGAAGTCATTAATGAGGAAGAGTATGTCTGTACAAAGATCGAGTTAACTAAAGCCTTCATAAAATCAGGCAAAATTCTCTACAAAAGGGAACATGTGAAGCTTCCTTTCGACTAACTCTATTTAGCAGCTCGGCCATCGGAACGTAACAACAAACAATGGATCGTATGAAGAAAATAATGGCTTTTTTCTTGCTTCGTTAAATAATACAAATTGCCTCAAGTTGACCTGGCATATTATCGGGCACAAGTAACGAGATTTTAAATACTATGACGAATCTTGGCGCAACTACAACGTCAAGCACAGTAGATCACTGGAAGAACAAGAATGTTGGACGAGCATGGAAGACTGTCCATGAATGCCTTTCTACTTAATATTGATGACTATCACATTCATGTTCAAAGACAGGCTGATACTACGAATACGTCTTGGGCAGCATACATGGCAACAATTATAGCGAATCCATGTTCCACACCAGCGATAATACCCGTAACGGAATATTTAGCTGATAAGAAGTTTGTTCGTGAAGCATCTTTATACTGAAGCAACTATCTATGCTTTCCCGAAAGTGTGCTATATGGCTGCTAGATGCATTTACGAATTATATCAAGCGCGCAATTGATTGTTGAAACCTTGTCTGATGGTATTAATACATATGGACTACAATAACGGATCGTCCCCTTCCCCGAGGTTGGTTACTTTTAGACGTTCTGACCATTTATTTAATCGCAGGATTTTGGCATGTGGGCATGGTTATCATATTCGTTGCTTGAACAGATGTCAATCTAAATGTTTATATGTCTAAGCGAGATGAAGAAACGTCGACGTAACGTTGATGAATGACGAAAGAAGTGGTCGATCAGTTGAACCAACTTCCCTACTTTAATATATTCTCTATCAAATGACAATAGAAATGAATGGTTGGCAGAAATGGCCGTTATAAATTAGCAAAGTAAAACGCATGTAGTATAAGGGCAGGCGTGCTTATATGGAGAGTTCACTGTACTTTATTTTTTTATCATCAATTAAATAACCTTGGTGCAAAAGTCACCACTGTCTATGAGAGAACAGGGGAAAAAAACACTCTCCCAACCGTAACAGATAATCTTTTGGTGGAACACGGGAAAAAAAGTAGACATACCACACGCGCGAGCACCAAATGTTTTAGCTCTGTATTCATTTCCGCGCGTTGAGGATCGTACAATTGAAAAACAAGACATACAGTGCTTGTATATTTGTTTGCAAAGTTGTTTGAAAGCTGTTTGCATAGTATTAAGCTGGGTCCCTATATTGATACTTGGCAGGTTTGGTATCAAGCACCCCCCGGTATTACTGTTTCTTGTGATTTGAAAAATGTTTCGCTTCAATGAAACGTGATTCTTCAATAATTTGACAAACAGCCATATCTGGTGAGTTTGACCGTATCATACTGTAAAAATATGATAATATTGATAAATCCCAGATCACGCTTTCGGATTTCGCCGCGTTAATGCTGTGCTTCAGCAAGCCCTTGGCGAGCAGCCTCCCGAATCGTCTTTTGCTCGTCTTTTGTTACGCCGTTTCCAAACAAGTAACGTAGCCCAACCGTGTATTTTGCTATAGCATAACCTTCGTTTGCCGCTTTTTCGTAAAGGTCGATTGTCTTTTGGAACTCCAATTTCATTATCGTAATACCGGGTGATATCAAACTGAGCGTACACAACGCCCCGATCGCAAGACCATTTCCCATCTACCAAGAATGTATAACGCGTCCGTGTGGTCGTGTTCTGCTGCCTGTTGGCATAGTTCAATCGCTTTTTGAATATTTCTTTGTACTGTTGCAATATAAATGCCGCTCGGTCATTCTTTTCCACGCCTTCTCCATTAATGGCAAGATTATGTATTGCAAGGATAAATCCACCTCTGGCAGCTTTTCGATAGAGTCTGACCACTTTTACGCCTTCTTTTCTTTTTCGTATCAGTTACTTCCGAATCAGGTGGACATCTTGTGGATATTAGCGCTGCAAGCTTTATACAGTTAAATGGGTTCGGGCCAGAACCGAGTTTAAGGGACAGCATCTCTGGCCAACTTGCAACCTCGTCGAAATTTTGGACCCCTCCCACCCTGGAAGGGTGGGCTGCAGATCGTTTCTTTTCACACCTTCTCCGACTTTGTTTCGAAACGCAGCAAGTCAGGGAGATGCCAGCGCGCAATTCCGTCCTTCAATATTTTATTCTAACGATATTGGAGGCGTCTCCCAAGAAACATATGGCGTTAGCATGTCCTCGTCGGACAGCCAGCTGAAACAGTTCAAGCTCTTCTCTCGTGACGGGTGGTGCGAATTCTTCTCTAATGTCGCGTGGTATGGATTCTTCTCCAGTGATATTCATTGCGGACATGTTGCGTGGCGTGGTATGTGTGTCTATTTTCAAGTGCTCGTCTATTAGGAAATGAGGTACATGTATTTGGCGTCACTCGTTCGACCAATGGTTTTAATTATAAATATAAAGTCACTTTATGGAATGCTTGCTGCGTCATATTCTAGATCATAGTCCCTTGCACCTGCAGCTGCATCCTATAGAGATATTGTAGTATTGTTTGTCGTTGACTCTCATTTCTCAACTTACTGATTATTATGTGGTGCAATTGATAAATCGATCAACAAAATTTAGCACGTGAAATTTTTATTTTTACATAGAAATTAAAATATTTCGAGGACTTTCTCCTAAAATGCTCTCCACAATCTCCAAACGTGTCCCTCTTACGAGGTCCAATTTCATTTCTCTTCCCGTTCTCGCATTTTATACTCCCTATCCCAAATCGCGCCTTTATTCAACTTTCAATTCCACACGGACATACTCTACTACATCCACATCAACAAGCGCATCCGAAGAGCCGATAACAATTTATGAAGGCCCATTTGCAACAGCCGCGAAACGATTAAAGATGTTTTCCTTCTCATCGCTGGGACTCACACTTGTGCTTACTCCAGCGTTGTTCTTAAGTGATGCTGCTATTGGGATAGCGCCGAGAACTACAATGGCCGCTGTTGGTGAGTTATGAAGAATGTGAAATTTTTTAAATTGTTGTAAGTGGGATTTAAACATTGTATGAAAAGTAGTCCTGGTCGGAGAATATGCTTATATTTTTATTACTATCGTATTTCTCTTTCTCGCCATAGCCCTAATCAAATGACTTTTTTTCAATCGCTCATTTTTTTCTCTTCACGTTTGATCCTATCAAGCTCTCTTCACAAGCACGGCCTCAACGCTGGCGATTCACTGGTGTCTGTCACCATATGTCGCCCGCGTTAGTGTTCCCAAACCTTCTCTCGGTCAAGTGCCTACATTAACTCCAGACACCCCAATAACGTTCGAAACACTCTCACTTACGGCACGACCAGTGTATACAACAGTTCCACTACGATCACTCGAACCTTCTACGAGGATGTTTACTACGTGGAAAGTGAAAAAAGAATGTGAACATATGATACAAGCAAGAAATAAGAAAGGAAAAAGAGCTGCAGGGCAGAAAACCTTTTTCTTACATTTAGAGCTATTAGAGGGAAGTAAATATTATGATAAAGGCGGAGGAGAATTGGCTAGAATTGTCAGGATCGGATGATGTTGGTTGAGAAGAAGTGAATAGAGATGCTGAAGGGAGTATAATTAACGCGACGCCAATAAAGGGCCAGCAAATAAAAAACATTATTAGCTAATCTCTGGAGAAATCTACTTGTAGATAACAATTGTAATAAAAGACTAAATTTCGGCATATAAGCAGTCTGGAAAGCTCACCACAGTAGTTATCACCAAGATGCTCTGCATTTTTGTCATTATGGTATCAAAAATGATTAACAGCGTATTTTATCCTTTCGGATATTTTGGATCTATTATCTCCAAAACTTTTATTATCTACCACTATACAGTTTATGTTAAATATGATCTTTCAGTTTCAGAAGTCTTTCTCTGGCTTGTTTTAGTGTCTCATCGGTTTTGCAAAAAGCGAATCTAGCATAATACTCGGCCAAATGCCTATTTTCAGCACAATAGAATTCGCTTGGTGGTATGGCCACAACTCCAATCTCTTTCGCCAACCAATAACAAATCTTAAAATCATAACCTCTATTCTGTATAATCTCTGGAAATTCGTAATCTCCAGGTAGTTTGAGTTTTGACATGTCAACAAGAATGAAATAAGAGCCCTGGGGTTTGGTATATGGAAGAGGGATATCATCAAAGATGGACATCATGTAAGCCCGTTTTTGCTCGTAAAGTTCGAGCTGGTTTTCAAAAAAGTTATGGGCGTCAGCCTGTTCAAAGCCAATTGCCATCGCTTCCTTTTAAAAGAAGAAAAAAATATTTTTTTTCAACCCGTTTGTAGTTAGTACGAGTCTCCGCATGCAGTCTAATGACTCGTAATCTTTCACACCTTCCATAGCCTCGCCTTACTTCCTGCATACTTACTTGTAATGGGGAATTGACACAGAATACAATTCTTACATGAGCAGCCAATGCCGCCTCTACTAATTCTTTTGGGCCAATCAACCAACCAATTCGCCACCCCGTCGCGCCAAAAGTCTTTCCTCCACTACCAACAGTAATTGTACGTTCCCAGAGCCCGGGAAGATTGGCTATCCTTTCGTGAGTGTTTGGCCTAAAGTACAGTCGGTCATACTAGACGATTGAGATAAATAGTGAAGAGCAAAGAGCACATTGAACTTGTTGATTATGCGTATAATATGCATCAATGGTATTTTCTGGGCAGTTTAGAATGCCGTTTCGCAAACCTCTTTTCAAATACCCCTCCAGGTTCAACTCACCACTTCATCTGTCAGGATCAATAAATTGTTTTCAGTAGCAACCTTTCCTATATCTTCCAATTCTTTTTTGGAAAAGACTTTCCCGATTGGATTATGAGGAGTATTAAGCACGATAACTTTGGACCGAGGCGTTATCTTTGATCTTAGCTCGTCAATGTCCAGAGTCCAATCTTTCGACGATATTGTTGCGTTAGGTCCGCCTTGTGGCCTGAGTGGAACGTATACTGGAACTCCTCCATTCATTTCTATATTGGCCTACGCCGGGGGACGGGAGGAATTCATCAACTTATAAAGCGTGTAAAAACCCCATTACATGTTCGACGAGTTGATTTATTAGACAAATACATACAATATATTGATCGAAGAAAGGTTCCATTAGAATGACTTCGTCACCTTCATCGAGAAACGCAGCAAATATTGCAAATATTCCTAACAATTGAAAATAAAAATGAATAAAATATTCTTGTTATATCCTAACGCAATGTCTTAACGTGTAGAATTACAAAAATCTTCATTATACCTTCATTCGCCCCGGCAGTGACCACAATTTCAGTCTCGGGATCCAAAGTTCTGTCCCGGAATAATGGATCATATGCTTTTGCCAAGGCTTTCCTGAGACGAATACGCCCTTTAGGGTGACTAAAAATAAAAGATAGAAAATTACACAAAAATTGTCTAAGACAAACACTCGTATGATATCCAATCAATATAATAATATCAACCTGTACTGACTACAATCGGTTCGCAGGATAGTCTCTCTTGCCGCTTCATTGAGGAAATCTGGTGGTGCAAAACTTTTTAAAATAGTGTAAATAATTTTCCAGTATAGATTTCACGCGAGCATCAAAGTTAACCACAAACATAGGCTGTGCATACTTCATGAATCCTTGTCCTAAATTCACCGCCTTCATTTGCATAGCAAGAGGAGTGAATATAGACCACACTATGGGATGGATGTAGGTTGGAGCAATACATTAGGAATAGACAAGCATGATTTCCAATTTCGAAATTGATCGTTGGATCAAAATTGACAAGTATAATATAATAAATAGCGCCAACCATCCTGTGTCAGATGGGCAACTTTTTCGGATTTCTTAATATTGACAGTATTACTCATATTAACAAAGTTTCGGTTTATTAATTTATTGACAATAGTAATGTGTCTTCTTGTACTCAAGTTGCGGTAGAGATGTCGAGTGAAAACGAGAGATGACATCTAGCGATAATCTTTTACGCAAAAAATCTGACCAAAAATGACGCATATCCCCGGTTTGGTGAATATAAATGTATGCGTGCAGGATGATCATACTTTTGTGTGTGCTAACGATAATAATATAAGTCATACGAATATCAACATGACTAATGATGTGATTTATAAAAAAAACTTTTTTGCAAGTCCCAAGTAGAAAATTTCATCGATCGTTCGAACTTCACACTGGTACTGATTCCTTGAAACATTCACAAGATCATTTTCCTTATTTTGAGAAACATGAATGGTATATCGCTCACTACTACAAATAACGCAACAAATAGCTTTACCGATAATATAGCCGACGAGGCTCCTCTATCAGGTACCTTACAGTTCTCCATTCTCCTTTCCAAGATCCCTTTTCACATACTATCCACCTTACAATTTTTTCTAACCCTAATTGAATTAAAACGAAACTTATCCCCACGGCCAGCGCAGTCGTATCCGAACTTTCCTCAACGGATCTCACAACACTCGTCTCTTCCAACTCTCGTGTCTCACTGTCAACCCCTGCCATAACCCACCATCTCCTTCGAATAGACTCGAGTGCCTTTCTTTTTCAGTATCCTCGAGGAGCCTACACCACCGCGAGAACAGTAAAGCGCATATCTGTAGTAGACTTCCAAACCCACATCAACCGTCTTGCTAATTCGATTTCTCATATCAATTACAAGTCGTTCGATTGCTCTTCTGTTATCGAGGAATCGAGCAATGCTGTCGCGGTAGATGCTGCTGATTGTGCTGATTGCGAAGACTGTGGAGAACCGGAAGAGGTCCGAAATGCATTGAAGCCATTTAGGAATGCTGCAACTTTAAAGAGATTATTGCTTCCAGTGGTTAGAGAAGGATTAAGAAAGTATTATGAAATTGAAGAAGAGAATACTTGGCATGTTAAAGGCGTCAGTGAGGCAAGGATTACTGTATTGATTTCTTATTCTTTCGAGGTACGTGTATGCTGCGAGACATGCTCGCTTAACTAGACGCGTTCTTGGTCTCTACAGTTAAATTCAAGCTTGAATTTATCACTTTGCTTTTAGAAACGCCAACCAATTCTTGCTACCCACGTTTCGCCATTACGCGCACCTCAATCCGGGAAATGTAGAGTACGCAGAAATTCATATGCGTTTGATTGGTTTGTGTCATTATTTACCCATTCTGACTTTTACTTTGACATTTTTGACAGGTGGAAGTGCACGGTGAACCTCGAAAAGCAGCTGAAACAAAAGATTCGCAGTGGGTTCGGTAAGAGACGTGTATAACAGCATTGGCACAGTACAATACTTTTTATCGGCGTTGTTTAATAACCTTTCTTTTTGATTAATCAAATCCTCCATTTTATAGCGATCGCAGAAGCCTCGAGGCTTCGCTTCGTCCTGGCTTCAACGAACTTCTTCTGTACGATTCCAACACCAAGAACATATACGAAGGCCTGTCCTCCAACTTTTTTGCAGTATTGCACAATCCCGACACCCAACGATCCGTCGTAGTCACAGCTCCAAAACATTGCGTATTAGAAGGAACTATTCTGCGTATAGTCGAAACGATATGCGAGAGAGATGGGATAGAATTCCGGTTCTGGTTCCCAAACGTTGCGGACGTTGAAATGTGGACTGGGGCATTTATTACAAGTTGAGTTTGCGGAGGGTTGTGCATCCTGATGAGAGAAAGGCAATGATAGTTTGTTCACGAGTTGTTTGGATCTTTTTAGGTACATCGAGGTTAATTCTTCCGGTTGAAATGATAAGGTTTCGTGATGGAAGGTAAAATACTTCTTTCTATACATATAAACCTTATGTTTCACTATAATATCTGATCTCCGATTGCCGAATTACACTTATTCGTGCTATAGGCCGCCAGTAAAGCTTCCAACACATGATGAAACGATAGCCCACATACGAGAAGAAGTTCACAAGGAAATATTCAAGCGAGCTCATCGGATACTTTGAGTGGAAGTGTACGAATGGCGATGTTATAGAAGAACACCAGCGTATAGCGCGCTAGTCCTTCGTCGAGAACTTGGGACGAAAAGGATGTGGAATCAAATTATACAGAAATTTGAATCCACTGACAAACAAAACAAAAAAGTTTATAATTATTTGATAGATAATAGTAAGCGATTCCACATAGCGGCTAATGTTTCTAATACATATTACACAATCGTTACACATTATTTAAATACTAATTTTTGTTTCTGGTTGATCTGTTATAATTGCAATTATCACACCTGTTCATCCCAATGAACAGGTCTCAATTGGATTCAATCATCGTCCTCTAATTCATTATCCATTCCCGCGACTCTCTCCCCACAACCCGCCACCAGCCTTCTTTTGTTCTTCCGCTATTTTTCTAAACATCTCCATAGTCTCCTGTTCCTTGGATTTGTACGCTACTATTTTCTCTCGAACGTTAGCAGTCTTTTCGGTCATGTACTGCTGCTTCCTATTTTCTCTGGCTGCCTTTGCACGGTCTCGCGCTGCTAATCTGTTAATTGGTATTGGGATAAGAGTCAAACGACATTTCAGAGGAAAGGATGGCTAATAAACGATATGACGTCAAGATGGTAAATACCTCGATTGAAAGTCATCTCCACCTAGTAATGCATTATCGTCAAGTTCAAGGTCTGGACTTGCTTCACGTCGATAATGTGCATTACGAGCTTTCTTTTTCTCAATCATTGCTTCCCTGCCTGTTTGATAAATGAACACAACATTATCATATTTGATACAACATACGTTATAGTTATCTACAATATTGATAGCTTGCTTCACCTGTTGCTTTTGGAAGCAGTTCGTCGAGAACTGCTTCTTGCGTCTTTGCATAGTCTTTCGTTTCTTTCTTCCGCAGAGAACGCTCATAGCGCCGTCGATCCTCATCATCCATGTCTAATGAAAGGTTGGTATGATATATGACTGTTGATAGAATAAAATTTTGTTTGTCATGTTACGAGTAGCTACGGACGTTACCTTCATCCACTTCTCGAGATGGAGGAGGCAGAGTAGGGCCTATAAAACGTAGTCTTAAGCAAATGCTTGCCATTTCTCGCTGCATTTTAAAATGCCACCCAATCACCAATAATCGTATCAATAATCGTATCAATAATCGTACCAATAATTCGTTTTCCTTCCTCTTTCTTTTCTTTGCTCATGACCATCTTAGCCTCAGCCGCAAATTGTTTGTTAGTCTGTCGATCAACTGTATTCTTAATTGCTTCAAGTTCATCAGTGTTTGCTTTGATATTCCACTTGTATCGAGTCTTGTCTGATTTATCTACTTGTGACGATCGAATACCATCGTAGTATTTCTCTACATAAGGGTTATTCGCGTGTTCTCGGTGAGAAAAAAGTGATCGAATCAAAAAATTACTTTTACAAAATATTTCTTTCCAGACATCAGACAACATACTTTCGAGTTTAAACTGGTTCCAAGCATTCACAAACTTTTTGAAATATCGCCTCGTCTGCTCCGCATTCAATTCGTCGAAATATTTGTCTTTATACTCACGCAACCATATTCGAAATTCGGTTGATTTGGTATAATAATCATCTTCGGTTATGGCTATAACATGACAAAAACGAGCAGATTTCTGGTCAATAGCTAAGCTCAACACATTATAAGTCTTTTACAAGACGTCACCCTAAGATAATTAAGTTATTAGCATACAACGCGCGAACATACTAACGTTGGAGGAACTTTTTCGCCTGTTCAACGAGATCGGAGTCTTTGGACCGACGACGATGTGATCTTTTGTGCTTTTTATCTTTGTGGGAAGAGTCTTCGTCGCGATGATCTTTACGATGCGGGGAGGCAGACCGTGCGCGATCGCGGCGACGGTAGGACATTATTAGAAAGAGCCTTTAATATTTGGAGTGTTGGTCAAAAATATAAATCGGTGGCGTCATGTGGCGTCGTCAACTACTAATACTGATGGCTGATCTCACTCTTGTAAAACATCTGTATCTGCATAACTGGTTTTGCACATACCCGGGGATACAACAAAGCCGATCAAGTAGACAGTGCGACGGAATGGTATTATGATACAGTACGCACTCGTCCCTTAGGGCCGGCCTCATTGCGGGTCTGCGACCCTAAACGTAATTATGAAAACTACTAAAAATAAATGGGTCATGACGGAAGATGCGGTTTGAATTCTTGTTGTCCCGATAGAAAGTCGGACAACGCTATGCATTTTAAAGTTATGCTACAATTCGCGTGACAGTTAATACCAAGATAAAGAATTATTATTATAGCTCACATAACAGTAAAGTTTTTTTTTAGTTCTTTGACAGAATGCATTTGTAAAGGCAAACCGTCCTCTTGATACGTGTAGTCATGTCTTTATCTCGATATTGCATGTGTATCAACGTTGTAGAGTTATGATATACAATTCATTTATAATCCTTAAATCCTGTGAGTATATATTTAAAATTTACCTACTGTAATGATGGTTTTCACAAATTCTCTGGTAAACAAAAAAAGTCTTATTAGTCTAATCACCGTATTAGTATGTACACGCATTCCAACCAAAAATAACATCAATAACACGTCAGCATGCATAGTAATTATAGTAGTTATACAACGTTTCTATGCTAAAAAAGAGAATCAGTTTAGCGTACGTGAGAGCTGATGTATCACTCGGGGGCTGCACTCGTCTTAACAACCACTTAAACCCTCGTCAAAGACGATACTCCGAACCTGAAGGAGTGCAAAGGGCGTTTTCTGGTCTATGTGCTCGCAGTATGGCTTGTAAGTCGTCAACGGGTCTCGTGTGGCCGACATTGGGTTGGGTATCCAATTTAGGTAATGAAAAGCGGGAGCAAAAAATGGCTATTACTATAGTTGAACAAAATTACAACATCATAATCACATCAAAAAAGGACGCAACCGTCTGTAACACCTACTACAACGAGATAATACGGAGAAGGGAGTTTTATAATGAATCACAAAATTGACAACATAGAATGAATAGGTCCTTCGTTTCCGGGGAAACATTAGAATGGTTTACCCGTCTTACAATCTTTTTTACAAGCGAGTGTTTGATGTTCCCTACCTGGCCGGCACTTCTTATCAAATCCACCCGTTTTCGTTTTCAACAGTCGAATCAATTTAAAGAACAGAAAAAGGAACCACATGGCCAATTAGGAATGGATGGTAGACTTGTTACAATTTATTGTGTTAATGCTTTGCTTGTTATCGTTGTCTTTTCTAATATTATTTAAAAAGCAATCAGTCGCTATTGTGTAATGTATGTGCAGCGAAGCTTTGTGAAGTACACAGTGAAAGTCGATATAACGGACTGTTCGGGACCAGCGTTTTAATCCGTAATATCGACGAGTCCGTAATAGTAATATCATGGTCCGTTATATCGACTAACTGTAGCAATTACAATAATAATAAATAGTAATAGAGATTATGCCAACTGAAGTGTGACGAATTGCCTAATAAGTATTTGATCGAATTCTAAAAAAGTAACTTGATTTATGTAATAGTATACAACCTTCACTAACGTTTACAACAATGGACTTTTAACGTCTATTTCAAGGCTGATAAAAACATTTCATGCAAAATCGGCATTGTTTATTATTATGACGGATTATTATATTAAAATTTTCATTTACTTCCTTATGTATTGTCGTATGAGAGTTCAAACACAAGTTTAACTGTTATGCGAGTTTCAACTATGATAAAGCCTCACCTAAAATAACAAAGATTTCGAATACAAAACGCACGTAGCGTTAAAGCTGTCGTAATCTAAAACCTTGTGTTCGAAACGGACGATGAAGGGTACGTACTACGGAGTTATCACTGTTCTCTTGTTTGTTGATAAGGGAATCTTAATTTGCAAAACCCCGATTATCACAACCGTCACAATATATAAACAGGCCAAAAGTCAAGGATAAATTTCCATTAACATACTACTTCACAGTGACAGTCGATTCTATAACATACCTTCTCCAATCTCAAAAGAAACACTACAAAGAGATGATAGCGATTCGCATAGCTCTCTTGTTTCTTCTCTTCACATCCATCAGCGCCTTTCCCGCCCTCGTTTACAGACGTCAAAACACCCTCGAACAACGTACCGACGCCATTCTTTTCGACTTCTCTATCCAGGATTTCCTCAATGCCAAAGCCGCTAACAGTCCTGACTTTGACTTTACCGACGACGGCTGTAGCGACGCTCCTGATCATCCTGATGGTTTCAACTTTCTTCCTGGTTGCCAACGACATGATTTTGGGTATCGGAACTACAAGAAGCAAGGTCGCTTTACAGAAGACAATCGCGGGAAGATAGACAATAATCTCAAGAAGGATCTATATAATGAATGTGCACAGTACAGCGAGCTGAAGAGTGTAGAATGTAGGAGGATTGCAGATATCTATTTTAATGCAGTGAGAACTTTTGGAAATCTTGACGTTTGATATTCCCTTTTTTTATATGCACTGGTTGCATTTGTTACGGGAAGGGAAATGTTGTGGGGTGTTGTAGGGTGTTGTCCACTATTACTATGTCGATATTTACCTAATATTTCAATTGTATAATCAATGCGTTTTTTTATATTTGTTTATTGGAATAAATTTTTTTACGTGTATTGGTTTCTCCTATATTCTGCCGAGTCGTGTATGATATATATGCTATATCAAGTAAATTCTCGACATCAAGTTTCTGCGTCAATAGAAAGTTACACGATAAAGCACCTTGTTAATTTAACAACCACGGGGTATGTTAATGTCTTTCAATCGGTTCACTAAATTGACAAGAATTTGCTGCGTAAGCTAAATGCGGACACGTAATAGAATTACGAAAAAATACGCCATCGTATTACTGACAACCATTTATGAGAGTAAATGGATGCTAGTAACCAATTTCCTCTTTCTGTGCTTGTTATTAACTTTTAGTTGACTGTCATTCTTCTCAATTGCAATCAGATAATTTGCACTGCATTAAATGTTTCACTGTTAACATTCCATTCCCGAGTCCAAATGTTAATGTGAACTGCTTGTTCACATATCTGTGAGCGATGTTTATTCCAACTTTTGGGGCTTTTTGTTTGCCCTAGAATGGTAAATTTGGCGAATTAATAACAGGTTAACATGTCTCTAATCCATCCCATTTGATTGACTGATCGACTAGTAGTACTTGAGCTTTACGTGAGCTCGTCTCAGGTTGACTAGTAGTCTTGAGCTCCAATAGCGCCTAGGCTTCGAGCTGCAACGGTGACTTTCATTGCTTGTTTGGTCACCTCCCTGAACTTTACTTCACACTCTGAATTTGATGTCAAGCAACCTTTGTGCTTTCCTTTGTCTTCGTCCTTTTTCATCAGTGACAATGGTCGACAGACACTTAACGTAACAATCTAACTTTCTTGAGAATGATTCTATAACAGAAATCCTTGAATGTTCCATTCTGTGTACTTTCGATCGAAGTACTCATATCCAGGCGTTGAAAGTGGGTTTCGAGTATTTATCCGCTGTTTTGCCGCTTTATTCCGTATTACGCCGCACATTTCCGATTTCGCCGCGTTATTCCGTCTTCTGCTTTTTCCGACGGTTATTTTCAGGTAAGTATGTTATAATTTATCGTCGTCTTATTATGGTTCACGGAGGATATTATGTGCCCCAAGAACATCAAAGCGTCTAAATAACATTATCATGGTAGATGCTCATAAAACGGTAAAAGTGAGCTTAACCAATAAACATATTGCTACATCCCTCATTATTAACCACAAGTAGACTGTAGACACTTACTACGTGAACGAAAGAGTAAAATTGGTTTACAGAGAATTAGAGTATTCCGTTGTTTAGCGGGTTATTATTAACCATAGAGCGTTTATGTAGAAAGCTCAGCATACGATGCTAAAAATAGAACATTAGTATTTTCGAAAGATATAAAAGCAGCGTACATTTCAGTTAGTATCGATGTGTTCTGATCCTTTCGATATACTCTGAAAATACGCGTTTAATATTCTTTGATATTATTCAATATAGCCGATAAATCCTAATATATAAGAGATAATTGAGTAATAGAGGCTTGCATTTTCAGTATTCAAAAAATATTGATATCAGAGATTTCTTATTTATATACAGAATAGACATAACTACAAGTCAAGAAGGTGAGCAACTCTTCAGTAAAGTTAAACAATGTCTTGAGGATTGCCAAGAAACTGCCGCCGAACAAAATTTAGTTGGTACTACCCGCAAGCCTCGCAAGGTACGCCTGACAATACACGCTTTAATTCGTGCTTTTTAAAACGTAAGCAGCCAATTTTAATGAACCTTGCATGTACTCAGAATTATACCCAAGTTTTATCATTTCCATAAATAATCATCTGAAGATAACCAGATGATCAAGATAATTTTCCTTTATAAGCATTATAATAAAGTAAAAACCACAGAAAAATTGCACCTTAAATAACCAGTGAAGCGTAAAATAAATACATTAATGAGAAATAATGAATATAATGGTTCTATTGAATATGAAAAAGCAACACGTTTCTTGGAGGTAAGTTGTAATTGTGGTTGTTCATTCATAGTTTCAACCAAATTGTGAGGTGTTTCAAGCTTTCTCCAGACCCAAAAAGATGTATTTTTTTTTTGAAAGCAATGGAGGGGGACTTAAAAAGAAAACTCGTACTAATAAGAGTTTTACTACTGGGATCGCAATGTAATGGTAAATAAACTTATACATCTTGTTAAGCTCTATCGTAAATTGTGAACAAACCACTTAATTAACGCGCCGCCGCGTTTGTACCTTTTATCTTTGTGATCAAAACTTACACAGCAGGTAACCAATTTCCCATATTAACAGTAATATTCTTTAATGCTCAGTGCATTAAGAATGCAGATAACACTTTTTTGTTCAAAAGACATATGTTGTCAGTCTTATTTTGGTTTAAAGAGTATTTTTTGGCTATAATTATATATAGTGATGAATGTTATTCCTATTAGATGACTTTTACATTATCTATGCCCAACCGAATTCAAGCTGTGATTGCTGCAATATTGACATTTACTCTAAATAAATAAAATTTCTTTTTAAATATCTTAGAAATGAAAGCGTGCAATATTTTTGTCCCCGGTATACACATTTAATTGCTACTAATAAGTGCTTTTCATGCAATATGATAAATCATTAATACGTTGCGCAATGAGTGACTGTGCGAGGTAACACAATAATTGATCTCTTTCCGTAAAAAAGTCTTGTTTCAAAACTATGTCGTTAATTAAGGACATTCAATCGACAACTGGATCGCACATAGACTTAAATGTATTCCTTACTAACATAGAATCAAGTCAAAGTGACAACGTTTATTACGCTATTCGTCACAAGCAAACATGCAATGATAGACGACGATAATGTTGCTAATGCTTGGAAACAATGAAATATGTAATATAGAAAACAACATTAATTTGTAACTATGTCAATTTTTATTGATGCTTTGATTGAAATTCTTTACATGAATAATAATAATTCAGCTGCTCTAAATATGAGAATGTAATAGTAGTGATAAATTATGAATGATGAATGTTATCAGAAGATTTGTTTGGTAATCTCAAGTGATTATGCTCCGACTGCGGCCACTGCACAGCCATAGACCACTTCTGTTGGATCGCTTGTATTCATTAAGATTGTCACAGTATATTTGTTGGGTAATGCCGGCGCTGGAGCTGTACGCTTTCGAGTAAACGTATCTCCCTTTTTAACTGGACAAGGGTCGCCGTTTCTTATGCAAAGGGGGAAGAAAAAGGGTGAACCTATAACGACTCCATTGGCATTGTTGTAAACGATCGACATTTGGGCATTTGAGGGAATATCCACTTTCGCAGTTCCAGAAATCGTAAATACAGCGTCTTGATTGGAAGCGATAGGATCTGGTGTTACAGTTACCGTGAATGGCGTGACATCAACAGCATTGCCAGGAACTGGTGGACATTCTTTGAACTGGGTAGTTCTTTTATTGAGGTGCGGAACAGCATTGATGACTGAAATTGAAGCCAAGAAGAAGAATAGGAATAGTAAATTGCGGTTCATGGTTTTTGTCAATATTAATGTTAATCGTAAATAGTAAGTATATAAGTTCAGTTCCTGGTCAAGACAGGTCGAAGTTTCTGCCGTATTTATAAGAAAATTGGGATTCCTTGAATAGTATTTTATACTATGTCAAAAGAAGAAAAAACCAAACCGGGGAAATATTAAATGGCGGGTTGATTGGTTGACATTCTGTACTGATGATTAACATATAATAATAGTTCGAAGATTTACCCCTAAACGGTCTTCGTAATGATCGGTTCATATTTTGTGCATAATAACCTCATTTGCTATATTAACTACCCGCTATAACAAAAACGTGTTGCTTATTTTCGGAAGAATACGGTATAGTGTTTTGTTGTCTTATGTTAATATCATCCAAATGACAATACGCACATTGTTGCCTTAAAATGAGTTTTTAGGTATTCCCCCTTTTGACATCTATAGAAAGTTTAGTGTAGAATTAATAAACTGTGTCGCCGTTATAAAAATATTGTCAAAATGCACAATTTATAATATATTCAATGCCACAGCGGTACTTGGTTAACTGATGAGAAAGTTTCTCTTTTGGATATGACTATGTGTTGCTGGCTGGGAAACATTGAAAATGGTAAATTGTAATTGTCTGTGCCAGGACAATGTTTAACAGTAGTTCGTCAGTTTGATGTGATGTGATTAATTATGACGTATATTACTCCCTAATTTCTGCGTAACTCCGATCGGAGTGTGCCCTGCCGATGTCAGCACTGCCACTCGCATATACGCAATTAATATGCAGTTAAAAATAGGCGGTAGTTTCGATTGGATATGCAGTATAAGAAGCGCGACTTTCCGCTAAAAATAATCATGTTCCTTAATGTCCACATCATGTTCGATTAATATTCCTTTCTAAATAATGAGTAGTTCTTTATGCTCTGAATACATATTAATGATTTGTTCTCTGGTAAATTATTGATATAGTCGTGAACCACTCATCCCTATTACTATATCGATTAGGAATATCCCAATCTATAGGCTTCCGAATTAATCCCATCGCATCGGCTGATTAACTCGAGGGCGAATAACTGTCTAGGATTAGTCGACACTAAGTCGTGACTAGTAAAACCTAGTGTAAAGGTCACTAACTGTCGTTATTTAACTAAGTAGGAGAAGCGAGAAGCCACAACCCCGTTGTTAGATCCCAAGAGCTAATGATCGATTGCTTTTCCACGATTATTGACACAATAGCGAGATTATCATTGTGTAGCAATTTCATACAAGACTGTACCAAGAATACTTTATTATCATTCTAGAATTTTTGACTGAAAGCTATTATTTTCGTGAGCTACTTCGAAGTTGCAGGGTGGACATTGTTGGATGCATTTTCACAGAAATTGATATCGCTTATACAATCAACAGTCCACATATACTTTTTAATCAGAGTAGAACCAGTTATTAGATGACAACAATTGTTTATGAAATGTCTCTTAGCTACAAGAAAAGAGGAATCATTATTTGGCACTAGTCTGCAGAGTGGGTACAAAATCCGCTTCTTGTGATGTTTGAGTTATGTAATAATCTACACACCAGAGTGTCTTGGTTATCTTTATATGTTCGATAGTTCGCTTTTTCATTGATATTCGAAGGTAGTGCTTCAAATTATTGAGTCGTGTTTGTGGTACAACGAATTAAGTTAATAAATAGATGTGATGTTGAAAGGAGGCAAGCGAGCCACTAGTATATAATTGGAAAAAACCGTTGTTGGGGAATGTATGTACAGTCAAACCTCGTTATGCCGATATTTTTGTTCCGCCAAAAATTTATCGAAGCGGGGTATGGGGTTTTTCTTTTTTTATGAGTGCTGCGCAAAATATTGTTTTATCGGGGTGTTGAATAAAATTTTTGTTTACGCAGATAAACAACAATTATCAATGGACGTTTGCTTTTGAAATAGGGTGAGCCAACAAATTACTTCTCAAACTCCGAGGTTTAACAAGTGGGCTAAACCATACTGTCAACGTAATGCGGTTTACGTTACAACACTCACGGTAACTGTAGTGCCAGATCCTATCGTTTCTGGTCAAAACGCTACATTTACGATTTCTGGAACTGCGAAATCGGATATTCCCACAGATGTCACACTTTGGGTCGCTTACGGTAATCCTGATGAATCCATTATTGGTGCACCCTATGAAGTCCCCTTTTGCGGAAGCAGCGTCCCTTGTCCAGTTAAAAATGGAGATACGTTTAATCGAAAGCTTACAGCTCAAGCGCCGACATTACCCGACGCATATATTGTGGCAGTCGTAATTGGTACAACCCAGCAAATATTCTATGGCTGTGCAGTGGCTGGAGTCGGAACAGCACCACCTGCATCACTTGAACAAATCTTCTGATAACATTCATCATATTAATATTAATATTAATATCAGCTGAATTATGCATGTTGATCAAAGCATCAACGAAAATTGACAGTCACAAATTCATGTTGTTTTCTATATTGTCGGTAATTTTTAAGATGCAAAAGAATTAAATTCAAAGCGAAGGCTTTGCAAGAGTTTATTTTTATTATAAATAAATTTGGTATATTCGCTTATATATTTTGGTCACATGACCATTCATAAAACTTCTATACTAATACTGCCAGTCATACTTCAACGCAAACTAATTGGGTGATTGCTCAATTACCACGTTGATGTGTTTGACAAATAACTCGAGTCAAATAACAATCCAAAACTGCAATATAGATTACTATTGTCCGACGAATTCACGAGTATTTCGGTCGAACTTCAGCAGAATGGAATGTTATTGGTTTATTAGGGAAATGTAGCGAGGAGCAAAAAATATCTCATTAAAAGACATAAATTTAAGTGTGGGTCCTTTGGTCAGAAATATAGATAAGAAAATAGTGGCATGGCAAGGTTCGGTTTTATGATGCCGTTCGTCTGAACGAGTAATGATTCCACTTGGGCATAGATGGTCTGCTCGGTTGTCTAACGTCCAAACTTTGGGTGGGCGCAAATGACTCCTCCGTTTCCGTTGTTAAATTAAACGGATTGAATATGCCACAAGCTTACGCCAATGAAACTTTGGAAAAAAAAAAGTTTATGTATTTCAGAAAAAAAAAAGGCCAAAAATCACATGGTAAAATCTCCCCCAAACTAAATTTAGGTAACAAAAAGGTCACGATATTTGAGCGAATGGGTATAATACTACAGTCTAAACTCGATACAATGAAGTCAACGGGATGAGGACTATATCAGAAATTCTATATCGAAAATTTTCAATACAGGAAAGTCCTTAATATTATTGTTTTTGTATTAGGAATTCTTCACTATAGTGCCATATTCACTGTTCGCTATATTAATATTGAGGTTTATATCATTTATTTGTCGATCACCTGATCCGGCGATGTATATTACTATTACAGTCAAACCTCGTTGTACTGATACCCGTTATTCCGATAATCCACCTATAACGATAGAAACTTCCGCTCCCAAAATTTACATAGGAATTTTTACCCGTTATACCGATAAATCATAATATAACCATGCAATGGCCTTTACTATTAACCTTTAATGAAGGGCAAAGAGTTATATTAACTTATGCACAGAAGAAAAAGATCTGTGCTTTGCTTTCTCAAAAACCTGCTCCGACACAAACTGCTGTTGCGTATTAATACAGAATTAAGTAAACTATTGTATTAGTTATATGGAATAAACGAGACAAGTGGTTGGCCACTAATGATATTGAATTTTCATCAAAAAGAAAAAGAGAACGTGTCGAAGTTTTTGCCGTTTTTATAAGAAAATTGGTTTTCCTAAATAGTATTTTATACTAGCCGGGGAAAAAAAACAAACATACCACTATTATGACGTTAAATGGCGGGTTGATTGGCTGACATCTATGCATGATGGTTAAACAGATAACAATAGTTCGAAAATTCACTCCTAAATAAGTCTTTCGTAACCAAGTTTCATCTGATATTCATCAGTTTACATTTTGTGCATAACCTCACTTGCTATATGTAGTAGTTTTTTTGTGATCAAAAAATCGGGATTCGGTTTCGCCTTCTCAAAGTGTTATGATCGAGTAACTAAATAGGACATTGATGCTATCGCGAGGAACTTTTATTCACAATGAGGTGCTCGCTAAAGCCCAATTTAAGCTGTTGATGGTCAAACCGCGTGCCATATTAATATTTTTAAGGGTAACAAATTTCACACTTTTATTACAGTTGAAGCTATCTGTAGTAAACCTGGCTATACGGAACTCTGGCAACAGTGAGCCAATTTCTTATCTGTATTTCTGACTAAAGGACCACACTTAAATTTATGTCTTCTAATGAGAAATTCTCTTGCTCAAAGGGGCCACAATTTATCTAGCCTTCTAAGATATTTCTCCTCGCTACATTTCCCTAAAAAACCAATAATATTCCATTCTGTTGAAGTTCGACTGAAATACTTGTGAATTTCGTCGGACAATAGTAATCTATATTGCAGTTTGGATTGTTATTTTACTCGAGTTATTTGTCAAACGACATATCAACGTGGTAATTGAGCAATTACCCAATAAAATTTTAAATTATTCTAAACAAATATCCATGCTAGTTTGCGTTGAAGAATTCATTTGCTTTCAAATAGAAGTATGACTGGCAGTATTAGTATACGTGAGGTGATTTAAAAGTCTTGCGCGTGTGGGGCTGCAGATCAGCGAAAATTGATCTAATCCAAAAACGGAAACTTCAGGGCAATGCAAATCGGTTTAAGTAAGAAACAAAAAAAAAAGAGAGCTGGAATTTGTTTGCTGGTTGTCGAGAAATTCTATTTTTTTTTTTTACACCTTACCAAAACGATTGACCGAAATGAGCGAAGAGAACCAGCGATTCCATATTTTTGTTTCTTGGAAAACGGTCGTGAAGCAACCAAAATTCATGAGGAACTGGTCAATGCAGTGGGGAAACAAGCATTGACTCTCAGCACTATTAGACGCTGGATTGCTAAGTTCAAAGGTGACGAACAGACATTCAAGACAAACCTCGTTCTGGGTGGCCTCGCGAAGCAGTGACACCAGAAAACATTGCAAAAGTCAAAGGACTTGTAAGTAATGACCCCCATATTACTACACAACGTTTGGAAGCTGAAACTGGTGTTTCTCAAGCAAGAATTGTTCACATTTTAAATAATGGACTGAGCATGCACAAAGTCTGTGCAAAATGGGTTCCACACAAGCTCATAGCAGTTCATAAAGAAAAACGAGTGGAACTTTTTAAACAACTGCTGGAAGTACTCAAAAGGCTACAATAATATTATTACTGGCGATAAAACGTGGATGTATTTATTTACCGTTTCGAGTAAAGAAGACAACAAGGTTTGGTTGGAAAAGGGGGAAAACAGGCCACAGATCGTCAGAACTGCGCAAAATTCGAAGAAAAGAATGTTTTGTTTCTTATGGTGTTATGGCAAGAATTGTGGTAAAACGGTTAATGGTGAACTTTATAGAGAACAAATTATGCCCGAAGTTTTTCCTAAATTTATGGAAGAACAACCGTTAGAGATGTCATGTTGCACCATGACAATGCTGCGCCACACAAGGCAGCAGTTGTTACTGAATATCTCAAGGAGGAAAGAGTCAGACTGCTTCCCCACCCACCCTATATAGTCCAGACCTAGCCCTTGTAATTTTACTTATTCCCCGAAAAAGTTTTAATAGCGTCGAAAACTTGTCACGTGCCATTCAGGCAATCTTTGACAGTATCGCTAAAGAGGAATATTACAAGTCATTCAATATATGGCAGAGTCGGCTGAAAAAGTGTATAGAGGCAAAGGAAGAGTACTTTGAAGGAATGTCATAATTACTTTGTCAGTTATTTATTGATTTTGGTGAAATAAATTTAGACATGCAGGATTTTTAAATCACCCCATTATGAATGGTCATGTGGCCAAATTATATAAGCGAATATACCAAATTTATTTATAATCTTGCAAAGCCTTCGCTTTGAATTTAATTCTATCTTTAAAAATTACCGACAATACAGAAAACAACATCTATGTCAATTTTTGTTGATGCTTTGATTAACATGCATAATTCAGCTGATATTAATATTAATATGAGAATGTAATAATATGATAAATGTTATCAGAAGATTTGTTCAAGGTGGTGCTGTTCCGACTCCAGCCACTGCACAGCCATAGATTACTCGCTGGCTTGTCCTAATTGCGACTCCCACAATATATGCGGAGGGTAATGTCGGCGCTTGAGCTGTAAGCTTTCGATTAAACGCATCTCCCTTTTTAACTGGACAAGGGTCGCTGCTTCCGCAAAAGGGGACGGTAAATGGTATATCTATAGGAGATTCATCGGGATTGCCATAACCGACCAAAAGTGCGGCATCTGCGGGAATATCCTCAAGAGCAGTTCCAGAAATCGTAAATGTAGCGTCTGCATTAGAAACGATAGGATCTGGCACTACAGTTACCGTGAGTGTTGCGACCGCAACAGGATTTTCAGGAATTGGACATGTTCCGAAGTCGGTAGTTCTTTTATTGAGGTGAGAAACAGCATTGATGACTGAAATTGAAGCCAAGAAAAAGAATAGGAACAGTAAATTGCGGTTCATGGTTTTGTTAATAAA